CTCAAGATCACTTTGAATCACTAGGTCATAAGTTGGAACTCACCAGCCACTTTTTGGAAACCCTATACAGGGCAGGAATGGGTCAGAAGTGACTCAACAGGACTTAATAACAACTTTCTAGGGACTGGGGATACAATGATGCACACAATAAAGTTCATGCCTTCATAGGATTCACCTTCAAATGGCAGAAGAGATTATAAACATATATAAATACATAAAAATCATATAATTTCAGGAAATAAAAGGGCTAGAAACAAAATAAAATAGAGCAATATTGGGGTTTTAAGAAAAGCTTTTTGGACACCCAAGTAGTTGTTAGAATTCTTTAGATTTCTCCTATATCCTCCTGTATGATCATTGTTCTTTGTGCCTCTCTTATAGCATGTTGTATGCCAAAAAAATATCACCCTTCCCAAAGATATCCACATCAAATCTTTGGAACCTGTGAATGTTACCTTATATTTCTAAAAAGGGTCTTTGTAGATATGATTACACTAAGGTTTTGTTTTTTTTTAATGTTTGAGCTTTGGTTAGCATAGTGGTTACAACTTGGGCTGCGAACTGCAAGGTCAGCAGTTCGAAGCTACCAGCTGTTCCGCGGGAGAAAGACGAGGCTTTCTGCTCCGGTAAAGATTTACAGCCTCGGAAACCCTGTACAGGGTGGCTATGAGTTGGAACCGACTCCATGGCACATAACAACAACAACATTGTGAATTATGTGATAGTTTACATGAAAGAATATTAGCTTTATATTCATCCTATCATATTTCATTCTATTGCCAAGGTTACAATCCCCTGCATGCATCATCAACCAACCAAAGGGTATATACCCTGCAAGCCTGCCCCCCAGTCGTCAGCACACACAGCCCCTCTTCCTCTCTGGGTCTAAAGTCCCCAGCCGCTCCATCTCTCCACATCACTATCTGTGCCTCCATCTCTGGCACCACTGTTTCTCTGGGTAGGGTCCCACACTCTGCTCTTTTCCTTTGATGGTTCCAGGCATCTCTGCTCCCTGACTACAAAGTCAATCACTCCCCTCCTTTTGCTACAGTACATCTTCCTTTACATTTCCAACCCTCACAGTCAGTCCTCATAGCAATTAGTCACTATTGTGCCACGTGAATGCCATCCCCAGCTCCTTTCATCAGCCCTGCCCACTCAGACAGATTGGATACTACTTCATGGAGATTCAACTTTCCTCTGTGCCCTCTGGTTCTAGGCTCCCTCTTGAAAGCTTGTAAGCCAGTCACTTCTTGTCTTTGTAGTCCCCCCTCCCCCCATTTTGGGTACCCAATGTCCAAGTTGTCCATCCCTGTCTACTCTGTGTATGAAGGAGGTGGAAATGATTCTCACTGTGAAGATCTGTTCCCTCTTTTGAGCTACTGCATCCATAGGTGTAGGTCAAGTTCATCAAATTGTATCAGATTACTCTTTTTTTCCTCTTCTTTTGTCTTCTAGTTGAGTTCTGATCATCCAGCCATTGAAGCCTGGTCAAGTGGGTATTATCTGCAAGTGTGGGTGTACTTATGCCTATGCCCTCTCTTCTTATCAGCCGGACGCTTCACTTTCCACTCTAGTCCTCTGCAGCTATGTCACTGACTCTGGGCCCAAGAGTCCCCAGGTCTTGCCACACTGCTGGCCAACCAGGTCTTCATCCGGGTTCACAGGAATGGGTTGAACGTGGTAGGGCTTAGCTTGCTGCTTCATTGCTGTTTTTTCCTCACTTCCTCATATCGGTGACCAATGTGGTCACCAGTCAGAGTACACATCTGCTCGTGTATTCCCCTTGAGTCTTAGTTTTGGAAGAGAGTTTGCCCTGAGGGGACCCGACCACTTGCTTTGATGTCTCCTGGGCGAGCAACTTGCTTGTTCTTGTAGTAGTCAGTCAGACTTCCATTATTGTTTTGTATTTTCTCTGTTGATCTTTCTTTCAAGAAGTATCTTCTGTTCTTCTAGCTGCTCCAGGCTGGTCTGTTTGTCCTTTTCAGTGGAAATTTCCCACCTAAGAAGATTCTGGATATGGTTCAGGATTCCACCTATAGTCTTATGTAATGCAGAGGCTCTGCAGGAAGCCTCCTTTACTGGGCACGTTGTAGCCCTATTTTAGGTATTCCAATCAGTTATAGGCAGAAGACGGACTTACAAGCTTTTTGTGGTGATATTTCTGGCTATTCCTTTCTCTCCCCCTCAAGTGTCTATTTTATGATGGTATGCAAGGGAAACCAAGATTCATTGTTTCACCCTTTTGCCCATTCCAACCATGCCTCAATCCCTGTATTCTAAACTAAGGTTTTTGAAAAGAGAATATTACCCTGGACTATCCATCAAAAACCAACCCAAACCATTGCAACTGAGTCATTTTGATTCATAGTAATGCTATGACAGGGTAGAATGGCTCCTTAGGATTTCTAAGGCTGCAATTCTTTTATCTTTTTCCCTCTGAGTAGCTAGTGGATTTGAACAGCTGATCCTGAGATCAGCAGCCCCATGATGAACTTACAGCGCCATCAGGGCTCCTGTAAACTATCCAGGAGGGACCTAAATGCTATCACATGTCCTTATAAGAGACACAGAAAAAACGGGGAAAGGAGGCAGCATGACCAGAAAGACGGAGATTGGAAGGATACAGCCACAAATCAAGAAATGGTAACAGTTACAAGTGAAGAATGCTGAAGGAGGCAAAGAATGGTCTCTCTCTAGAGAATCCAGAGGTATAGCAGCCCCTGTCAGGACCTTGATTTTGGACTTCTGTCCTCCATGATTGTGAGAAAATACACTTTGTTGTCTTATGCTAGCCAGTTTGTGGTCATTTGTTGCAGCAGTTACAGGGAATTAATACATCCTGTGAATGTTATTTTCTATCATTATATTCATGGCATTTATCACAAGTTGTAACTGTTTGTTCACATGTTTGTCTGTGTCTCTAATATGTAAGTCTCTAATATGAAAGGCACAGCTCCTTCACTGCACACCCAGTTCCAAGCAAAGTGTCTGAAACATATTAATTATGTTCTTAGGCAATGTCAGAGTATCCAAAAAGCAAAGTAAACAGAGGCTTACTTGTGCTTACTTACAATACTGCAGTAATCAATTGCACATTTTTTCAATGCATCAAAAATTTTGCTTCTGGGCATGACTGGCATGTATCTCTCTCCCAACCCCATTACCCCTTTCCTACAGAATCAATGCCTCTGTTCAAATTTACAATCTCTGACAAGGACAGAGTACCCAATAAGCAATGTAAACATGGATTTACTTGTGCTTATTTACTAATCAGTGTGAACAATTTCATAAATGAAATTGTGAAATTACTCATTACAGATTAGTAAGTAAGTTTAACTTTCTTATAGGGTCATCACCATTATTCTTAGGAAATGCATGCTGCATGAAAGATAGGGTCATCACCTCTATTCTTAGGAAATATATGCTACATGAAGGAATGAATCAATGTTCCCATTAATAACAAATCTTATAAGACAGAGACCATGTCTACTGATCATAATTTCCAAAGCCCCCAACTAAAAAACCTCAAAATGGACAAATAAACAAAAACCTTTGTTGAACTAGGTTTAGGAATCAGGAAGTTTGCACTGTAGATACTGTGCTGCAAAGTATTTGCAGAGTGATCACCTCAAAACTATCATGTATGTATACAGTATTAGACTTCACCGGTTTGTTTCGTATCTGTTCTTCCTAGTCCTGATGAAGATATAGTTCAGATATTCATTTTCACATGCCTTACATGTTATACAGAGTCCTGGTGTGGTGCTGTGGGTTAATGCATCAGACTGCAAAGTTGTTTGAGCTGCAACGTCGTTGGTGCAAGCTCATTAGCTGCTCCTTGGAAACCCTATACAGGGTCGCTATGGGTCGGAACGTACTGGACAGCACTTAACAACAACAAGATAAATGTAGGAGTCCTGCTGTGGTGCTCTGGGTTAACACGCTGGACTGCAAAGTCGGTTTGATCAGCAAGGTCAGCGGTTCAAGTTCACCAGCAGATCCTCAGAAACCCTATACAGTGTTGTTATAGGTCAGAACTGACTAGAGGGCACTTAACAACAACATGATAAATGTTTTTATTGTTTTGAGCCCCAAACCTCTGCTTTCAGAGGTGTTCTTTGATCATATGTAAATACTCCCTTGGGCCTTCTGAAACAGTAAGAGGGCTAGAAGGCTCTCAACAAACCAAAGTTTGGTAACCTTGGAACCAGAAAACACCTGAGGGTTCTATAATTACATGACTCTACCCTTGAGGAATTTACTAGTTATAGAGATTACAAGAGAAGACTAGGCCGAAGTGACAGGATCTTCAGAAGAATCCAGTCCATGGGGTGGCGATTAAATGCTAAATCTAGTCTTTTTAGAAGTCCTAGGTCACTACCTGGAGTCCTGGTATGGCGTTGCAGTTTACAGCATTGGACCTCAAGGTGAATTTGGACCGCAAAGTCAGTGGTTCAAACTCATCAGTCGCTCCTCGGAAACCCTTTTCGTGGTCGCTAGGAGTCTAAAACATTTAATTACAACATTTTACTGCCTAAAGAGAACGCCAGTCACAAGTTTAGCGGTCCATCTCCTCCCGGAGATTCCTTAGGTTACCTGGGCAACGCCTACGTCACTGCGTAGCTTCACGTGCCCGTTGGCGAGAACTCCACATTGCGCAGGTGCCTCGCGGGAGCCAATGGACGCGCCCGGAACGTTGGCATCACCTGGCGGCCGATCCGATCGCGAAAGGGCGGGGCCGAGCGGCCGCGGGAGCGCGCTGACCTTTCCCGGGCGAGCGGGCGGTTGTCCGCGTCTGGGTGCCAGGCGCTTCGGTCTCGTAGGTTACGCACACAGTCGCTTCCCAGGGGCGGCCTAGATTCCCGCTCAGGCAGCTGCACCCTCCTTAAACCGGAGGGAGCCCGCTAGGCGGGGGCCGCGATGGTGCGAGTCCAGGGTCGGAGGTGGAGCTGACTAGGGGCCGGAGGTCTGAGAAGAGTCTAATCGAGTCGCGGCCGAGCACGAAGCCCTTCCTTGCCCGTCGGGCCCGGGATTTCCCGCCCGCCTCTTTCCATCCGTCAGGGTCACGCTCCTCGCTGGAAGCCCTGAATTCTGTGCCCCCCAAGCCCCGGGCCCCCTGCGGGAATGTTCAAAAATGAGTACCAGGTAACCCGAAATGACTCTCCAACCTATCTTTAAGTTTCTCCTCTTGGGTGAGAACAAAATAACATCTTACACCGCACCTCCATAATATGGTCCATTTCGGGGTAGCAAGGAATGAATCTATGAGGGGGTCCGGGGAGAGGGGGGAAGCATAAACATAACCAAGGTTTAGGACTTGCCTTTTAATCTCTACCTACCTCAGTGCATCCTCAAGGTGTTTGAATTGCCCAGATTCTGGTTAAAATGCTGACTACCCAGTTAAAATACATCCTACCCAGTTCTCCTGAATCAGAATCTTAGAAAATTGTTAAGTGTAGTCAGTGGATTTGAGTCTTAGTGACCCTGTGTAGGGTTTCCAAGGAGCAACTGGTGGGTTTGAACCACTGACCTTGTGGTTAGCAGTTCCGCGCTTACCGTACAGTACCACAAGTGTCTAGGGCACTGTTTAGCCTTGCCACTGGGTGTTTCAGCTGTTTAGAGGAGAGCATAATTGAGCGAAAGAATGGATGAATCCTTTAAACCAAGACAGAAAATAAGCACTTTGACTATGTGCTGTTTACTTTCTCCCAAAACTGGGGAGTCAGGGGTTCTCTAACACTGTGGTATATAATAGAAGCGCTTGGGGTTCTTGTAAAAACGCAGCTTTCCTGAATTCACTGCAAATCTGGTGAATCATTTTTTGGAGATGGGGGTCGCTTAATTTACTTAATAACACGTGAATTCTGATGCAGGTAGTCCAAGGTTCACGCTTGCAGAAATCCTGCAGGGTCAGTCACCTGAGTATCTTGGGACATCTGCTCTCCTCACATTGGCCCATCTCCATTCCTAGCCTTACTTGACCCTGTCTCCTGCCCTTCCCTTGTCACCTCTATTTGGGGTTACACTCTATTTATTTACAATCTACCATTTCGTTTTGAGCCTTGCTATGGTGCTGTGGGATGAGCACTTAGCTTGGTCATTCCAAGGTTGAAAGTTTAAACCCACCAGCCACTCCAGGGTTGCTAAAAGTCAGAACAGAATTAAGAGCGCACAAGAAGAGAATCATTTCATCCTGGCTGTCCTGGTGAACTTCCTTGTGCCCAAACAGCCCTCTGCTGGTCTCCACCTCTTGGTGGTTTCTGCCTTTTCACCAGACATTACCTGTCTGCTTAGAGTGCCTTCAGAGTATTCTCTGGTTGGCTTCTATCCCATTTTATATCCTTCAATAAGTTAGAACGGTTATAGGGTGTGTGTTTTACTTGATATTGTCCCTGTTAAGTTCCATGAAGTGGTTTCCAACTTACAGTGACCCTGTATGGGGTTTTTGAGGAGTGGCTAGTGAGTTTGAACCGCTGACTTTTTAGTTCAAACTGACCTAGTGGGTCCACTGCTTATCCTACAGTGCCACACCAGGACCCCTTCACTTAATCATTGTTGTTAAAGTGCTGTTGTGTTGGTTCCGGCTCATAGCGACCCTGTATAGGGGTTCTAAGGAAAGACTGGTGAGTTTGAATCTCCATTTGTGGTTCAAAAAGACCCTGAGATCCAGTAAAGTATAAAAGTGTATGGCTACAAAAGTCACATGCCCATTGTGGGAAATTTGGAAAACAAAAGAAAGTTAAAAAAAAGGCTGCAGCTGGGAATTGAGATGAGAGGGAGGTTGCTATCTCACCAGGTATAAGGCTTTTTCTCTTAAAGAATAATGTTTCGAACTTAAAATTCATAGTGAATTATGACCTAACCTGGCAAGTTATAGTAATTCTTTCTCACATATGTTGTTGTGAAGTGCCTTCGAGTCGGTTGCGACCCTGTATAGGGTTTCCGAGGAGCAACTGGTGAGTTTGAACTGCCGACCTTGCAGTTCAAACGATTTTGCAGTCTGGCGCATTAACCCACAGTACCACACCAGGACTCCATCTCTCATATAGTGTGCGTACATAATAATGCCTAAGGAATAAGAAATTAAATGCCCTAACTCCATGCAATTACTTGTAAAAAAAACTCAGGAGCCCGGTTATCTTTTTATTATCTTGAGATTTGAAAGCTGGAAATTCACACAGATTTACCCATGCTGCTTCTAATTCAAACAGGTCATTAAAGAAAGCTGCTTTTAGTCTTCAATGTCCATTCTCATTAAGTTCCTTGCTATAAACATGGCACTCTTCCTCAGAAATAATAGTTTGTTTAATTGAGCCTTTGCTGTGTGCCAAGCACTGTGCTTTTTGATTTGCATGTACTATTCTCTCAATCCAACAACCTACTCTGTAGATGAAGAGTCAAAATGTTAAGTAAATTTATGGTTAGATAGTTAAATGGCAACGTTGTATTTGGAACCTAAGTTAGTATGACAGCAAAGTGTGTTGTTGTTTTTGTTGTTAAGTGCTGTTGAGTCGGTTGCAACCCTGTGTACTGTTTCCAAAGAGTGGCTGGTGAACTTGAACCACAACCTTGCAGTTCAAACCAGCTTTGCTGTCCAGTGCATTAACCCACAGTGCCACACCAGGAAACTGTGTAGCCAGAGATTATTGTCAAGATTTATTGGCCTGGCTTGAGAATTGAATTTAAACATCTTACTCTGAATTGAATAGAATGTACCATAAGCATCATCTGTATATATTAACTATTTGACTCTCATACTTGAGCTATTTGTGAGGTGTGTATGGCATAGATCACTTAATGTGCACCATTCTTGAAAAAAATCTGTTAAGCCATTAATTCTAGGTGACCCAAATCAGAGGAGTTGTGGGTTAGATACAATCAAGGTATCAAGTAGGAGTAACAGTAGGGATAATGTTTCCACCAGATGTACTAAACTCATAGAGTTTCTGGAACACAGTTATAGGCTCTGTAATAGACTATGTTTCCTCCTTAGCTTTGACTTTCACTTAAGTATTTTCTTTTTGTTTTCTAGGGAGGTGCATTTGTTGAAATTTTCAGCGCTCAAGGAAAAAATCCTGGAGCAAAATGGAAGATCCTTGGCAGTCCATCTGTGATTTGGAAAGTAAGTGTTCGAAATTAGAGTCATGTAAACCCTGGGAAGAACCATGAGTGCAGATTAAAACAAAAAAGTCTTGATCCATTTTCAGAACTGTTTTCCGTTTTTTCCCTCCAAAACCCTTTTGTGACGTTGGCTGCAGCCCTCCCAGACTGCAGCGCTCCTCAGTGCTGAAGACCTTGCACGGGTCTCACAGGCCTCCTCTGTATGCTAAGTGCTACTAAGTTGTTAGGAACTTTGCTATGATGGGGAACATCTCTACAAGCCCTGGACTTCTGAATTTCATGTTTTCTTCATCTCTAATGACTTATTTTACTCCTCTTCAGTCTTCATTTGCACTGTTACTCTCTGAAACTTCTCACCCACAAACTTCAGGGCCTGTAAAGTTACTCAGATGTCGAGATGGCCCTCTCAGACCCCTGACTTTGATTCTGAAGGTTGCTTGCTCAGTTACTCTCACTATAGAAAGGTCTCACACATTGGGACCTGTAGGCCATTGATCATTCTATTTCCCCTTGCATTGTGTGTGTGTTTTCATTCTCTGCCTTGTCTTTCCTCTCTAGCTCAGAAGCCGTAATCCATCATTTCAGTCACTTCTTAGTCAAGAAATTGACTGCCCTTGCTCTTTTATCCTTTTATCATTCCTGCCTAGCAAAACCCAACTTTTTCTGAATCCCCAATGATCTGTCTTCTCTGTGCCTGCATCTGGGCTGCTCAGTACCTTCAGAGAAAATGTGTATAACTTCTCAGGTTGGTAGTACTATACTCTAAATCCATCCCAAATGGCCCAGAAAACTCTCCAATAATGCTCTTATGTTCCTGTAGTCTCCAAAATGATTATTTCTCTTCAGGTTTTCAACCATCAATACCCAGCCCTCCTTCCCATCCCAGGTCCTCCTTCCCTCACCCCCCAGAAGACCTCACCCCTTACTTCAAAGGGAAAGCAGAAGGTATCAGGTAGAAACTATTTGCCTTCATTCAGATCTAAAAACCTGCATCTATCCCATCTTTTTTTTTTCTTCTGTGTATTCAAGAAAAGAATACTTTAACGGGCATCTTATTCTATGAATAGTTTTTAAAAGGTATTATTTATTGAGAGCTTAGTATTTGCAAAGCATAGCAATAAGTATGTTACATATTTTATTTAACAGTTAATAATAACAGTGTGAGGTAAATACCTTTATTCCCCATCTTTTAGATGAGAAAACAAACCCAGAGAGGTAAGCCACTTGCCCTAGGTTACACAGCTTGAAAGAGAGAGAAATTGTGCTGTGAGAGTAAATAGCAGGGAGATCAGGTAAGGTTTCCCTGAGGAAATGACCTGAACTGGAAGAGCTACCTAGGTAGAAGGTGGGGCTAGGGGAGGTACATTGTGCTCAGGCAAAGGAAAAGAAGGTGGTGGGAGTCTGTCGTGGAGAGTGAGTAAGGAGTGCAAGGCAGGAGGAAGAGAGGGCCTACATTATGCAGGGCTTTATGGATCCTGCTGACAATTATGATAAATGGTATGAGAATTTTAAGTATATTCCTAACTTGTACATAGATGGAATGAATAATATACTTGGGGCATCTGTTTGTTTAAAATACACTGACGTGCTAATGTTATGAGTATAATATATATAAATTTATGTGACTATTACTTAGTTCATGGAGTTTTGGTGTGGCACTGTACGATAAGCACTCGATCACAAGGTTGATTTGAACCAAAGATTGGTGGTTTAAACCTGCCAGCCGCTCCTTGGAAAATCTTTGCAGGGTTGCAGTAGGTTAGAACTGACTTCATGGCACTTAACAACAACAAAAACAACATTACTTAGTTCATAGCAGCCACTAGTTGCATTGCATTTCTTACCATATACAAAAAGTCGTATGTCATCCTGAAGAGTGGGAGAATGTGAAATGTTTCACTGTGAAAAAGTTACCTTTAGAGGCGGCTCTTGATGGTGGCTAGGGTGGAGGTGCAGTGAAGTTCGGCGTCTGCAATACCATAGAAAACCAGGCAAAGCAGATCCAGGGCAGCGCTCCAAAACTCAGAGCCACAGAGATAGGAATATTTTAAAAGTTCGAAGGCTTATAGATAGTGGAACTTGTAGCAAAAGTAAGAAATCGCATACTTTTGAATCTGCCTGGCGGGTTCTGTGGCCCAGAGCCCAAAATTTGGGCGAGACTAAACAGCAAGACCAAGCGGGGGGAGCAGACACACCACGGAAAAGGAAACCTTGGAGCAAAGGTGGACAGTATGCTTTGTCGGTTTTGCTTTGCTCTGATTTTCCTTATTTAAATTATTTATTTTTAATCTGTTCATTGTCCACCCCCAGCCCCCACCACTGTTTGCACACCTGCATTCTGGTGACTCGAGGTGAAGCCTGAGCGAGTGGACACCCCCCACCCTTGCTACTTACTGGTGGGTTCTTCTGCCACGCATTTACACAGATACACTCAGCCCAAGAACAGGCCCTGAACTGTTTTTTTTTTTTAAAATATGGCAAAGGCCAGGAGAGGGCTATAGAGAGGGAAAGAGAGTTTAAAAACAAAACAGACTGAAAATTAAATTAAATCCTGAGGTACAGCATAACAACCAACAGTGGCATCTTGAAATCTCTCAGGCAGCTTTGAATGCAAAAAGCTGAAGAGAGGACGTTAAAGTCATACTCATACTGGTGGCTGGCTGTGTGCCATGGAGTCGGTTCTGACTCATAGTGACCCTGTACACGGTTTTTGAGGCTGTGGATCTTTGCGGAACAGAAAGTCTCATCTTTCTCCCGTGGGGCAGCTGGCCGTTTCAAACTGATGACCTTGCGGTTCGCAGCCCTATTCGTAATCACTAGGCTACCAGACCCACAGATTTTTTTTCTTCTTCTTCTCTCCTTTCTCTCCCTTTTTCGCGATTCTAGACTACAGTATTCAGTCTAGTTTTTGTTGTTGTTTTGTTTGTTTGTTTTTTTTGCTGGTGCTCTTTTGCTGTTTTAAGCTCCCCCTTTTACCGTTGGGGGACTCTTTCTCTCCCTATATTACCAAAGAAGAGACAGCATCTGCTGCCATATAGCCAAGCTACAATCACACTCTATAAAACACCAAAACCCAGGCAAGAACCAATACCATATACCAGGGAGGCAGACAACACCTGTGAAAGTTACTCAGAGTTAAGCAATAAAAAGAATGAAAAGGGAAGCTCACATCCTGATTACATCTACCGGGAAGCAATCAGAAAGCATAAAAAAATACCAAAACACACACTCAATTAAGTATTAAAGCCACAGATAAACACTAAACATGTCCAAGAAGCAAAAGCAGATGACCATATCAGCATATGTCCAGAAACAAGATAAACTTTCTGAGACAAATGACCTAGAGGTACACCTGGACTCCATTCTGGAAGGAGGGTAGGCCTTGGAAATGCCTGAGAAGGAATTCAGAAAAAATGATTATAAAATGTTTCAAAACATTTTACAATGGAGTTGAGAAAAATAAGGAAGAAGTCAGGAAAGTGCTCCAGGAACAATCAAATAAGATAGATACAGCATTGAAAACAATTCAAAACCTACAGAAAGAGGTCCAAATGATCAATAACAGAAATAATCAGAAATAGACAATACTCTGAAAGGGCAAAGGAGTAGAATAGAAGAGATGGAAGGCAGAACCAGTGAGCTGGAAGACAAATCTCTCAATACCACTAAGATAAAAGAACAAACACAAAAAAGGATAAAAAAAATCTGAAGAAGGTCTAAGATTCATGTTGGACAACATGAAGAGGAATAACTTAAGAATTATCAGCATTCCAGAACAAGAAGAATCACACAGATCCACAGAGGAAAGAGTTGAAGAGCTACTGGAAGAAAATTTCTCTAACATCCTGAAAAGTGAAAAGATAAACATTCAAGAAGCTCAACGAACCCCAGTAAGGATAGACCCCAAAAGAAAATCACCAAGACATATCATAATCAAGCTCTCCAAAATCAAAGATAAAGAGACACTCCTGAAAGCAGCTAGGCAAAACAGAAGTGTTACATACAAAGGCAAGCAAGTCACATTAAGCCCGGATCTCTCAGCAAACCATGCAGGCAAGAAGGCAATGGGGAGACATATATAAAACCCTGAAAGAAAAACAAAAGTGCCAACCAGGAATCCTTTATCCAGCAAAGCTATCAATCAAATATGACAGTGTAATCAAAACATTCCAGGATAAACAGAAACTAAGGGATTTTGCCAAAACCAACTCTGCATTACTGAACATCCTAAAAAGGGAGTTCTGTGTACTGAGAACCAACAAGAACAGGCAACAACCAGAGATTGACATACATGGCAGCACCTCCCAGAATTAAATCGACAGAAGGAAGAGTCCAGAATAGAACAAAACTCTTAAGAACAAACACAGAGAATCTGGGAAGTCAATCTATGATCAAAACAATTACAATGTAACATTAGGTAAACTCGTAGGAACAGAGATCCAGATAGTGAGAAGGTCAGGTCGATTATAGGATAAAATAGACTGCACTAAATGGACAGAAAAGTTAATGGACTATAAAGCAACCTCAAAGAAAATTAACACTTCACAACATACCCAGAGAATGAAAATCCAAGAAAAACATGGAAACATTAAAACTATGAGGAAACTCACAAGAAAACACAAAAAGCATGAACTCAACAAAGGAAGACACACAGAGCAAAGAAAGCAGCAACACCACAAGAAAGCAAACATAATAGCAGTAATTAATCCCTACCTATCTATAATTATACTGAATGTAAACAGATTAAATGCACCTGTTAAGAGACGGAGAGTGACAGAATGGATAAGAAAACAAGATCCTTCAATATGCTCTCTGCAAGAGACACATCTCACACACAGAGGCAAAAACAGATTAAAAGTCAAAGAATGGAAAAAATATACCAAGCTAATTGCAATAAAAACAAACAGGAGTGACAGTACTAATCTCTGATAAAATTAACTTTAAGGCAAAAAACAGCATAATATATAAAGAAGGACATTCTCTCATGATTAAAGGGACAATTGAACAAGATCAAATAGCCATAATAAATATCTATGCCCCCAGTGAAAGAGCTCCAAAATATATAAAGTAAACTCTAATAGATGAAGAAAGAAAGAAATTAATCTACAATAATGGTGGGTGATTGTAATATACCACTCTCAAAAATGGATAGAACAATGAGAAAGAAACTTGACAAAGACACAGAAGAACTAAACAACACAATCAGCCAACTGGACCTCATAGATGTGTACAGAGTATTCAACTCAACAACAGCACAACACACATTCTTTTCCAGTGCACATGGAACATTCTCCAGAATAGACCATGTCTTAGGCCACGAAACAAATCTCCATAAATTTACAAATATCAAAATACTACAAAGCTTCTTCTCAGACCATAATGCTATCAAATTAGAAATCAACAATAGGAAGACCAAGGAAATCAAGTCAAATACATGGAAAATGAAAAACACCCTGCTGAAAAGCGACTGGGTAGTAGAAGAAATTAAACGTGAATTCACAAAATTCCTAGAAATGAATGAGAATGAAAACTCAGCATAGCGAAATCTTTGGGACACGGTTAAAGCAGTGCTGAGAGGAAATTCAGTGAAGAGGAGATCCGGGTAGCAAAGAAACATAAGAAATGCTCACGATCACTAGCCATTAGAGGGATACAAATCAAAACAATTATGAGATATCATCTCACACCAGCAACAGCAGCAAAGATCAAAAAAGCAGAGGACAACAAATGCTGGCGGGTTTTTGGAGAGACTGGTTGCTCCTGCATTGCTGGTGGGATTACATAATGGTCCAACCTCTCTGGAAAGCAATATGGTGCTTCCTCAGAAGGTTATAAATAGAAATACCTTATGATCTAGCAATTCCTCTTTTTGGTATTTACTCACAAGAAATATGAGCTATAACACGAGTAGATAAATGCACACCAATGTTTATAGCAGCACTATTGACAATAGCAAAAAGATGGAGACAGCCTAAGTGCCTATCAACTGAAGAATGGATGAACAAACTGTGGTACATGCACACAATGTAATATTATGCTACCCTGAAGAATAACAAGGAAGCTGCAAGCCACTGCATAACATGGATGAACCTTGAGGACATTATTTTGAGTGAAATTAGTTACAAAAGGAGAAATACTGCATAGGACCACTACTGTAAAAGACTAAGAAAAGAACCCATACTAAAGTATGGGGGAATTTTTTTGCTGGGATGTGGCGAGTGGAGTGAGGGGACGATGGGAAGGTGGAGCACAGGGTAGGGAATAGACATAGGATAGTTTGGGTGCTAGGGAGGGGGGCAATACACAAGAAGGGGGAGGGGAGTGGAAGAACAAAGTGGATGGGAGAACAATTAGGCAGGTTTTCATGATGTAAGTGGAAAAGAGGTAAATGATGTATGCACAGCCTTGGAAAAACAGGGCTCTGGGATACAGGAATTGAGACATGGTTGGAATGGGGAAATGGGGAAAATAATGTTAAGTTGCTTGGCTGTCTTTTGAAACTTGGTTTCCCTGGCATAGCATTATAAAATAGACACTTGATGGGGAGAGAAAGTAATAGCCAGAAATATCACCATAGAAAGCTGTCTTCTGTCTTTAACTGATTGGAGTATCTAAAATGGGGCTACAACCTGCCCAGTGAAGGCAGCTTCCTGCAGAGCCTCGCATTACATAAGACCATATGTGGAATTCTGAACAGCATTCAGAATCTTCAGAGGTGGGAAATTTCCACTGGAAAGGACAAGCAGACCATCCTGGAGCAGCTAGAAGAACAGAAGATACTTCTTGAAAGAAAGACAGTCAGGAAAAATACAAAACAATAACGGCAGACCTACTGATTACTGTAAGTACAAGCAAGTTGCTTGCCTAGGATACATCAAGGCAAGTTGTTGGGTCCCCTCAGTGTAAACCCCTTCCAAGACTAAGACTCAGTGGGAATACACGCTCTGATTGGTGACCATGTTCGTCACCAATAAAGGGAAGTGAGGGAAAAAGCCAACAGTGAAGCTGCGAGCCAAGCCCTACAACATTCAATAGACTCCTGTGAATCTGGGTGGAGACCTGGTTGGCCAGCAGTGTTGCAAGACCTAGGGAATCTTGGGCCCAGAGTCAGCAACATAGCCACAGAGGACTAGAATGGAGAGTGAAGCATCCAGCTGATAAGAAGAGAGGACATATGCATAAGAACACC